AGAACTTCTGTTCCTGTATAACCAAATCTATTGTCTCTCAGCTTCTCAAAGACAAGTATATGGAGCCCAAAGAGAAACTTAATGATACAGTGAACATCTTTCAGTATTGCATGGAAAGACTTTTTAGCAGGAAACACAACTTTCTAGAATATATATTAATAGCATAAGTTTTCCCCAAAGGAACTGTCTGGGATAATGAGATAAATCAAATGTACATAGAAACTAGAAAGTGAGCTTGTAGAGTGCTCCCCAACCCCACCAACAAAATACAAGCAGGACTGATTTATAACAGGGTAAGATTTATAAACTACAAGTATTAAAACTCACATGTATACATTTGAATCCAATGTAATAGTTACATCTGCACTGCTGGCACTACAGAGAATATCCAGTTGAAAGTTGTTTCTCAAGTTAACCTGAAGAAATTAAAATTTTGGCAATATCTAAAGCCACATACAGGTAGATAGTAGGAATAGTGTGAATTGCTCTCGCTGAAGCGGAAGGAAATCCAAACCCAGGACTGAGCCAGAAACCAGGCTGAAAGCAGAGCTATGGCCAGAGTCACTGTGAGGATGTAGAGCACCAAGATCAAGACCAAGGCCAGGACCAGGCAAAACTATAGCTGTGCCTGCCTGTGGCAGGTGGCGCGTGGCTACTGAGGTCCACCAGCAACTCCTGGAAACTGCAGGCAAAGACTAGGTGTAGCGTGAAGGCTGCCATCACTGTGCACAGAAACCAGAAAGCCTTGGAAAGCAGCATCTACCCCCAGGTTGAAGAGTTGGATTAACTGGTATGAAGCATGTGATAGGACAGCCCCTGTCAGCGTCCACCTTTGTGACCAGGTAACCAGGCTGCACCCTTTGTGGTGCCGCATCAAACAAGGCTGTAATTTCCAGCTTCAGCTCCCGCATTTTCACGATGGTGGTCCACCATCACAGGCAGGCTGCAGTGAACACCATGGTGCTCTGTGCTCACCAATACATTGGACCACAATGCCCACAGCACTGGGTCTCTGGTCAGGAAGATGTAAGAGGTGCTAGGGCCCCAAGTCCAAGTGGGAAGTGCTAAAGTGAGATGGAGGCTCTGGGTAGGTGTTTCTGGTTCTCCTAGACTGATCTTATAGGAGGCCTGCTGGAAAACCAGAGCATTTTTGTTGATGTAATATGCAAGGTGATGTTTGTGCTGGATGACAGAGACAGCTTGTCCTTGTTGGTGGCTCTGATGGTTCCACCGTACTTGAAGTCTACTCACAGTTTAGAATTCCATCTGCTAGTGTTTTACAAAGAATTACACAGTAATTCTCAGAAGTCGATTTTTTGGCTGTGTCTTTATTATACTCCACAATATCTTGTGCCTCTCCACTTAAGAAAGCCTCTTGAGTCCTGTTGTTTTTGTTAGGGCAACCACAGTGCTTGCCTGTCATAGGAGGACACACCCAGCTGTCAGTCACCTGCACAGCATTACAGTTCTCAATCTCCTTTTCAGCCAGGATTCTGAAATGGGCCCTTAAAATGCCTCCAATCTTCTCCTTGATGAAACTGTCACTCTTCTCCATGATGTAACTGTCACTCTTCAAAATCAAAGATGGTGCTGTCATCATTGGATGGTAGATATAGTCTGTATGCCCTGTAAGATTATGTGGAAAATGTAGAGCAACTCTTACTTTACAGGTGTCATCTAGGTCAGTGGGGATCACCTGGAGAATGGAGAGGAGGTGGTGGAGGGCAGGCTCTCCTGGGGGTGGACTCAGCTCTGCACCTGTGGCTCAGCATGAGAGGACTGGCATTGGCATCCAACATCTGCGTCTTTGCCCTGAGCTGTTATGCCCCCCACCATCACTAAGTGATAGCAGCTCTGCTCCTCTGGCCCGTTTACTCAATAGGAACCAGAGTATTTGCTGCCCTAGTGCTTTTACTTTGCGGGGGCAAAGGAGATGGTTATTGAAAGTAATCTGATAAATGCGTAGAGAATTACTTGCAGGGTACAAATCTACTGCAGTAAACTTTGCTCCTTTTAAACTGTTTCCCAGAATTCTCAAAACAAAATGCCTGCATTAAAAGCTGTATGTTATTTATATTCAGGATGAATATGTTTGTATGAAAAGCATTTATAGGATTTCCAGGGAAGACTTCAGATTCCAGGGGCCTGCCGACTTACCTTGGCATATTCTAAACCGATCCTGTGATTCTGGAGCTCGTCCCTGCTCTCTTCGCTGGCAGTAAATAGAGGTTTCTTAGCACTCACCCGTGATTCTGGTCACTTAGTTGCAGATCTTTGGCGAGATGCCCCAGGTTTAAACCCTTGACCTTCTCTTTCGGAATCTTGCAGCGCATTTGCTTCGTAGTTCACGAGGCTAAACAGACATCAGAAAGGGAAACCGCGCTTCTCTTGATTCACGCACCTTCCCTGTGGGCGACTTCTTCCCATCTCTTCTCCATGCTGCTTCTCAGATCTGAGTACACCTCGCGACGGTTGCTCCCGGATTACAAAGGTGCGCTGGAAAGAAAAGCGCCTCACTCGCGGCCATTACACATCGTGAAGCTCCCGACCCAGATATTTGGAAGAGCTTGCGGGAGGGACAGCGTGCAGAGCCCGCTCCTGATGTGTTTCTCAGAAGTCTGCGGGAATCGCTGCGTCAGAATCACCAGTGGACTGCTTTGCGTCACTCTAGCCAGGGATTGGCCGGCAGCGGCACCCAGAGGCCCAGTACGGTATCTACCGCATGTGATTTCTGAAAATCAGGACACTGGACTTGCTTTATTTCCGACGCTTAACTTTAGAATATCAGCTAGTTTAAAACAAAGGCTGCAAATCATTATTTCTTTTTGACAAAATATTCATAAAACGGTCTTGCCACAGAATTTAAATCAAACGTTTTAATTTATTAAAATTCTTATCAGCTTAAAATAAAAATTCTTACAAAAGTTTCCCTCTTGAAGTTTCCTTTTGAAGATGACTATTTACTATTGAAGCCTGTCTTTCTTAAAAATGTTTTACTCAAGAAATTACCCATTGTAAAAAGAAGTGTATATTACAAAAAGAAATTCTCACTAAATTCTACAAAATTTTCACTATAAAAAGGTAGAAAATACCGATAAAATTGAGAAATCAAGTAATTGCACTATATAATTACAGATATAAAGAACATATTTGATGCCTACATATATACATATATACTTACACGCTTTATTCTTTTTTACTGTGGTAAAATGCACATGATGTAAAGTTTACCATGTTAATGATTTTTTTTTTTTTTGCCATCCCATCCCTCTTCCTCAGGTTGGCTTTTTTTTTCTTTTGGTATCATTAATCTACAATTACATGAGGAACATTATGTTTACTAGGCTCACCCTTCACCAAGTCCCCCCCACAAACCCCATTACAGTCACTGTCCATCAGCATAGTAAGATGCTGTAGACTCACTACTAGTCTTCTCTGTGTTGCACATCCCTCCACATGCCACCCCCACATTATACATGCTAATCATAATGCCCCCTTTATTCATCCCCCTTGTCCCTCCCTTTCCACCCATCCTCCCCAGTCCCTTTTCCTTTGGTAACTGTTAGTCCATTCTTGGGTTCTGTGATTCTGCTGCTGTTTTGTTACTTCACTTTTTCTTTCTTCTTATACTCCACATATGAGTGAAATCATTTGGTACTTGTCTTTCTTCACCTGGCTTATTTCACTGAGCAAAATACCCTCTAGCTCCATCCATGTTATTGCAAATGGTAGGATTTATTTTCTTCTTATGGCTGAATAATACTCCATTATATATATGTACCACCTCTTCTTTATTCATTCATCTACTGATGGACACTTAGGTTGCTTCCATTTCTTGGCTATTGTAAACAGTGCTGCAATAAACATAGGGGTGCATCTGTCTTTTTCAAACTGGGCTGCTGTATTCTTAGGGTAAATTCCTAGAAGTGGAATTCCTGGGTCAAATGGTATTTCTATTTTGAGCTTTTGAGGAACCTCCATACTGCTTTCCACAATGGTTGACATGTTAATGATTTTTAAGTGCACAGGTCAGTGGTATTACACTCATAATGTTGTGCAACCATAGCTACTATCCATTTCCAGAACTCTTCTCATCTTGTAAAACTGAATCCTATTAGATGATCATTCCTCATTCTCCCCTTTCCAGCCCCTGGAAAATACCATTCTACCTTCTGTATGATTTTGACTACTCTAAATACTTCATATGAGTGGAATCATAGAGTATTTGTCTTTTTGTGAACGTCTTATGTTATACAGCATATCCTCAAAGCTCATCCATACTGTAACATATGTCAGAATTTCCTTCCTTTTTAAGGCTGAATAATATTCCATTGTACGTATGGACCACATTTTACTTATTCACTCATCTGTCAATGGACAATTGGGTTGCTTCTAATTGTTAGCCTATTGTGAATAATGCTGCTACTAATATGGGTATACAAATATCTCTTTGAGACCCAGCTTTCAATTTGTTGCAGTATGCATCCAGAAGTGGAACTGCTGGATCACAAGGTAATTTTATTTTTAATTTTTTTGAGGAACCACTACACTGTTTTCCATGGTGGCTGTGCCATTTTATATTTTCACCAACAGTGCACAAGGGTTTCAATTACTCTATATCCTTGCTAACACTTGTTATTTTCTGTTTTTTTGACAGTAGCCACTTCAATGCGTGTGAGGTAGTATCTCCTTGTTTTGATTTGCATTCCCCTAATAGTGATGTTGAACATCTTTTCATGTGCTTATTAGCCATTTGTATTTTTTGTAATTACACATATATATAGCATAATACTCCCAAATAATCAGCTCTTTCACAGATACTATTGGTTGTTTACATAGAATGAATATGTGTCTCCCCAAAATTCATATGTTGAAACCTAATCCCCAGTGTGATCAGGTATCAGGGCTTTGGGCAGGTGATTAAGTTGGGAGGGTGGAGTCCTCATGAATGGAATTAGTGCCCTTATAAAAGAGGCTGCATAGAAGATGATCATCAAAAAACCTCCACAAAGATCCAGGTGATGCTGCAGTTGTAGCTGCATCCATCCCACCGTTTCCTGGACTTGCCATTGGAATGAAGAAGGAGATATCTAAGCTGGCCTGTGCATACAGTAAAACAACAAATTTGACTGGATCTATAATGTTGGAACTCAACCA